AAATGAAATCAGGAAGAGTGGCAATCTTTGACCTCAATTCCACCTCTGCAGTTTCAGTGCGATGCAGCCTTCTAGCTTTCCTGCCCTAATTGCTGTGCGGTGTTACTGTGGGCTACTAAACAGCTGCCCCTTTCCATCCCAGACCAAGGTGCTATCCAAGGATAGATAAAAACACACCTTCCTTCACACTGACACTGAGAGGTCCTCTGGAAGAACCATGCTCAAGGCGTGTGTAGCATCCGTGGGGCCCTTCAAGTGATTTCAGTCTTACTCCTCCACTGTGTTGCTCTTTGGAGACCTGGTCACCCTGATGGCTCCTTCCCTCAAGTACCCACTTGGTGTTTCCTCTTTAAGTCTATGGGTGGGGCTGAGAATTCTAGTCTGGACTCGGGGAAGAACACAGAACATTTCAGTTGAAAAGACCTCAAAAGGTTCTATTTTTGTTAAGCAGTGGAACTCCCCCCCCAAAAAAACCTGATTTAGAGCCCCAATAGTGTAAGAAAGCACAGGCCAACTACCACTGGTTGAGAGAGGCTAGAAGTCCTAGTTTGTTCCCCTACACTCTCAGTGTTATGCAGGCCAAGCCACCAACCCTCTGAGCCCCTAATTTGTTTACGCATCTTTATTTGCAAATGATGGTCCTAAAGCCTCCACTCTTACCACAAGTCCCTCCTCACCCCTCGGGAATCAAAAGAAGAGGTTGCATAAGGATCCTGGTTTTCCTGGTGCTCAGCTCAGGTAGTTTAAAGAGATTTGGGGTGGAACCACGAGGTGCCAATATCTCAGTGCCTGGCCTGCCAAGGACTGGTCACACAGGTGGCAGTGCCAGTCTTTCCCACCAGCTCATCAGAGGCAAAGGCATGCCTGGCCTCCTGTCTCCACTTTCAGAGAGGTTACCTCAGCAGCTTGAAACATGCCACGGTGAGAACTGAACAAATTCAGGAAACCAGGATCTCCCTGGCCACTCCCTCTAGAGCTCATCCTTAGGCACTGACCAGCCTCCTCTTGCCTTGCCAGTACTCATGGAGTCCAGAACATACTGAAGAAGAATATGGTCCTTGTTCCTTAGTTGTTGTTAAAGATTTTCGGGGAACAGTTATGAGAAGTCATTTGCAAAGATCTTTGGGATCCTTGAGATGGTGTCAGATTTTGCTGCCTGAAAAACCAGTTGGTAAAGTAAATGGGCCAAGAAGTTTGATGAAGCAAAATAAGAGAATGGTGAGAAAGACAGTGGGAAATCAAGGTGTGTTGGTTTTCTAGGGCTGTCATTAAGTCTTGTAGACTGAGTCACGTAAGTAGCAGAGCTATTGACTCAGATGTCTGGATTCTAGAAATCCAAATCAAGGTATTGGCAGGGTTGGTTTCTTCTGAAGGCTGAGAAAACAGGACCTGCTCCAGACTTCACTCCTTGGTGGATAGATAGCATCTTCATGTTCACAAGGTGTTGTCTGTGTAGGCATATCTGTCTCCATCCAAAGCCTTTCTTTTGTAAGGAGGCCAGTCATATTGGATCATGGCCCACTCCAATGACCTCATTTTAGCTTGATTATCTCTGGATGCACCCTATTTCCAACTAAAGTTATATTCTAGATCTTCTTTCTAAACAAGTTCAGATTCAAGAAGTCAAGACTCCAGTGAAAGAATTTCAGAGGGGTACAGTTTAACCCACATCATTCAATCAAGACAGAAGCAAGGCTGAGAGTTTGATCAAGCTGGCTCCCTGCTCTGCTTCAGGTCTGGTCACCAAAGTGTCACACATGGAAACTAAAACTCTAGCAAGGAAGTGGCTCTCCGAAGGGTGGGGTGGGGAAGGATGGATGCAGACATTCTGACTCCCAGCCAGGGGCCTCTTGTTGTCTGCTAAACTGCCTCCTCTGGATTAGGGGCTATTTCTCTCATTTATGTGTTATCTCAACATGCAAGAAGAGGCTGTCAGCAGCCAGGGAGCCAGGATGTGTCTGGCACTCATCTCCAAACTCCCACAAGCTTACAGCCTGGGTGAGACATGCAGAAGTTCGGGCAGACCAGGCTAAATTGTATCTGATTCAATGATGTGTCCTTTACAGAGGTTCAGGGAGCTGCTCGTTGGTTGCTGGTCTCTGAAACTTATGTTCCTTTGAGGCATTTTTTTTCAGCAGTCTTCTGAATATAGACCAACAAATGGGAACTAGGATCAGCACCAGGTGTCTGGGATTTTCCCAGTCTTAGTTGATAATAACTAAAAGAGCAATTGGGGCATTAGTTTCAGCCCTTGGGAGCTACTGGCTCTGATATTTACTAAGTGAGTGTCACCATTCACTAGCCCTCTCTGAGTCTCATATTCTTATCTGAAAATTGAGGACTAATAACACTTTGCTTGCAGAATAAGTCATCCATTTGCTCATGCAGTGAATGTTGTAGGAAGCATTCCACACGCTAGGAATTGTTATGGGCACTAAGTCATGACAGTAAACAAAGTGAGATGGTCACTTGCTTGTGGGTCCCTGGGATAATAAATGATGGTGCTGTGCTCACTGCCCAGGAAACCAGTTCACTGTCATTGCCCTAGGCAGACCTGGGTCTGGGAGGAATCCTGGAGAAGAGTCACCTGGGTAAAGAGTGGAGAGGGAGGGGTATCGAGGAGCAGAAAGGATCCTGACAGTGCTCAGGGCAGAGGGGTGTCATATCCAGAGATGTGGATGAGAGAGAGCACCAGGTGTCACACAGGTGTCACGTGGTCCCTGGAGCACAAAAATGCTCTGTAAACGCCACTTTTTCTTTTCGCAGCACACATACAGGTATCATTTGCTTATCTCCAAGACCAGAAATGTCAACATAAAATTGAAAAAAAAATAGACTTTTTAATACATTTCTAAAATCACTGAGGTCCATGTTCTCATGTATGATATGCTAGACTGGATGTATTTATTCCCTGACATACATGTATTCCATTTTTCACCTCCATAGAAGGCAATTACCATAAATACATTTATGTGAATACAGTAGCACCTCGTCCATGAACTAACTCAGTTCCTTCCATGATTCAGGTCACAAACTGAATTAGACGAGAACCGAATCAAATTCCATGGTTAGGTTCAGTGTTGACCTTAGGGAGAAGTTTGATTCGGTTCTCATCCAATTCACTTAGCGAGCAGAATCATGGAGAGAATTAAGTTTGTGAACTGAGATACTGCTGTAGATAGCTGTTCTTTTGTCCGAAGCAATGGTTCTTCCTTATCTATACCAGGATTCATCCAATTATTCATTCAAGTATTACAGATACTTTCTGACTTCGGAATTTGAGGGAACTCAAATGTTACTGTTTGTTTCATACCCTCTAATTATCTGCATACATCTTTCACTCTTTGATCATTCCAAGTTTCTCACATCAAAATTCTCTTCTCATCTGGAAACTGCATTGCAAAACCTTTGTGAAGGGATCCGCACAGGTGCTTCCTCTGCTAATAAAGATAAGAATGAGGACAATAACCATCAATGCACGTGTGTTTTTGTTTTTGTAGATCTTTGTAATATATTCAGCAGCATGAAATATACATCTCTTTTATGCAAAGAAATACTGACCTACATCTCTCTAATATTACCATCTTGACTAATTCCTTATCTGGTAACTGGATATCAGTGTGCATAGAAACAGAAGGAAATAGAAAAACAAAGGAAAAAATGTGATAGGCATTTAGTACTCTTTTTTTCAAGATATGCACACATGTACTGAGCATTTTATGATTTCCTTTGCTTTTCTTCTCGTTTCTTATTTTAAGCAAAATCATTTCACCAGGTATGGTGGCACACATCTGTAATATCAGCTACTTGGGAGGCTGATGCAGGAGAATCACTTAAACTCTGGAGTTTGAAGAGAGCCTGAGCTACACAATGAGACTCTATCTCAAAGCATAAACTATCTCTCAGATAATAATTTGCATTTGTTCAGTGATTTTCCATTCATAAGTCACGTAAGGCACAAAGGAGGTCCCATCCTGCAGTAGCTTAAACCTGTCTAATATCAGGTAGGATGTAAATGAGAGCGTGAGTCATTGCTCCTGACTCTGAATTCTATTTGCCACTGTTTCTTTTCCCACTATCTATACCTAGTCAGCCTTCAAGGTCTCTTACAGCTGTGAAATTTGGTAAAGTTCAGTCAAGGCAGAAGGCTTTGCCAGCTGGTTCAGTACCATAGCCCCATGGTTTAGTGTGGGGCCTGGAAAATCCAAGGAACATAATCAACACATTTTCATACCTCAAGAGTTGACACTAGAGATTACTTGTTGAGGCACTCTAAGCAGCTGGCTCTTAGGAAGGAGGCAGACTAATCCACCTGTGGGGCTCATGAATGTGGCCCGTAGCTGCACCCAGAAGCAAAAGCAGCACCCACAGAAGTGCTGAGTTCAGTAACTTTGCAGACCTTGCCATGCAGGGATTGAGGGTGGGGTCACGAGCGGATGGGATATCCCCTGATGCTACACTTGCTTTTCCCTGTCCCTAGCAACCTCTCTACAGGATGTTGGTGCTTTGAGGGTTTCCTATAATTTGGTCTGAAAAAAATTCACTGGGTTTTTCCAATCTGTTAACACTTCCTCCTTAAAACTTTAGCTTCTCAAATTGGTAAGCATTTAATTTCACTTACAAAATTAGTTGCTTATTGGGAGGACACATTAAACTGATGACTTACCCATGAAGAGCCCATTAGAACTTACACAACATTTCTCCAGGACATCTATTTTATAACCCAAATCACAACTCACTCCACCGTGACACTTCCAGCGTGACTCTGGACAACCAAAGAAAATAATGGTGTGTAAGGAAGTCAGGATTCAAGATGCATCATACGTTTCTCTCCTTCAGTTTCCTTCTCAGCGATGTCTAATGCTGAAGACTTTCACTTTTCCTCTGAAATGTTGTTTCAGAGTCTACCCCCTGACCTTAATGCCACCTTTAGTTCCCCAGGGTGTCTCATTTCCGTTTCTGCAGTGCATGCTTAACTGGTCTTCATCTTTCCTTTCCAGCTGGCTACCCTAGAACAAGGACCACACGGTCAGGCAGCACATGGTGGAAGGAATAGGCTAGATGCCTGGGGATCATTTTGGTCGAGGCTGCCTGTTTTTACAGAAGAGTACTCAGGTGAGTTTGTAAGGAGGCTAGTGTCCATGTAAATGCTTTATAACCTTTTCTTGGACAGGCAGCAGACAAAGCCAGTGTGTGCATGTACGTGTGTGTGCACGTGTGTGTATGCGCATGTGTGTATGCATGTGTGTGCACGTGCGTGTGCACGCGTGTGTGTGCATGTGTATACGCGCGTGTATGTATGCATGTGTGTGCATGTGTGTATGCGCGCGTGTGTGTATGTGTGTGTGTGTGTGTGTGTGTGTGTGTGTGTGTGTGGTCCCTTGCCCACTTCCTCACTACCTTACCATCTTCATATCTTTCTTCAAAGAAACCACATTATGAACAGTTGGACATCACAAAGTGAAGATTCTAAGCCTGAGCCCCAGAAAGTGGTCCTGGCTCCCACCAGAGGGGAGATCATACACAACAACACCCCAGAGGAAGCTGAGATGACCCAAAATACCCACTAGGCCTGGGCTGGGGCTCTCCCAGGATGTTCCTCAGGAGAGATGCCTGGGGCATTTGTCTGTGGCACTGGGCCACTCATGGTTGCTTTGAACCTTTGTCATTTGGGGTCTCTCCACAACTTCCTGCTCTCTGAGGAGGAGAGACCAAGCAAGAAAGACTGAGCACAGGGCTTTGAGGTCGGAGGTTCCCTGGTGACTTTGGGTGATGCTTTCTATCTGTCGGAGCCTGTTCCCTCACAGGCTAAACAGATAACAAACTTCACCATACTCACCTCAAGGGAATCAAAAATCAGGTAGAATATTGATGTTGATGTTTGAGAAGATGGGGACATTGGTGTTAGAGTAAAACAAAACAAAACAACTAGAGTTTACTCCAAGCTGTGTTACTGACTATCTGGTCAGCGTGATGATTCTCTGAACCTCAGCATCTTCATTGGGTCAGCTTGGTTATAGAAGATTCACGTTACTAAAGTTAGTGGAGACAACAATCATGAGTCAGAAAGGACAACGTGCGCACAGTGTGACGCTAGTACCCTAATGTTATGGCGTGCTTTCCAGAAGGTAGGTGTTTGCGTCTCAGCTCAGGATGTTCATCATAGCCTAGTCCTGCATCTTTCTCTTTCGAGGTGCTCCTGGGAGTCTGCTCTCTGGGATTCAGTGTTCTGAGTCTCTTGACTCTGTTTGCTTTGCAGAGCATAACCTCGGGGCACGGGTGATGCAGGGCTGGAAAGTCCCCGTGGAAAGGAGCCTGGCTTGTCTGGAGATGGTCTCCTGCTGTGGGTGGTCTGCACACTGAGCAAGATTTAAGTATGAATCAGACTGTGCTAATGGAGCAAAGACCACAAGAAGAGGCAGATCCTTCCAGGGTGGGAGCCTTACAGATGCCTGGGGTCATTTTGGTTGAGGCTGCCTGTTTTTACAGAAGGGTACTCAGGTGAGTGTGTAAGGGGTATGTGCATGTGCACGCACACTTTTGATTGTGTCTGTGTGTCAAGAGCACACCTCCCGGGGCTGGGGATTTAGCTCAGCGGCATAAGCACCTGCCTTGCAAGCAGGCGGTCGTGAGTTCGATCCCTGGTACCGATAAAAATGAAAAAGACAAAAAAAAATATCAAAAAAAAAAAAAAAAAAAAAAAAAGAGCACACCTCCCTTGGGCGTCTTCACACAGAGGAGGGTATTAGAGTGCTGGACCATGGTCACAAGGCCTGGACTTCCCGTTGCCTCGCTCAGCCTCTGCAAGGCTGGGTCTCAATCCCTTGGCATGGTTTTTCTGAGTCTCTGCTTCCCTTTCTGTGGCATCCAACCTGTCACACAGGAACTGTGGGGGCCATTTCGGGTGTTCAAGAGCAGAAAGCTTTCTGTGAAACCAAGGCACCTTAAGCACAAGGAAGATACCTGGTCACACACATTGGGGTCCCTTTCCACTTGTGGAACCATTGGCAGACAGCACTGACAGTGGGAAAGGTTTGCTTTCACAGCTTTTGAGAACCAGGGTGGCCCTTCCAGGTGGGAACACACTAAATTCTAAAGGCCCAATGACTAAGACTCTCAACTTCTTCTAGAGCCAATGTAAATGAGTAGGGCGATGTGACTGAAAGACAGGTGTAAGAAAACTGTGACTTAAACTTGTTGGGACTATAACACAATAATGCTAGGCTGTCAAACATTAAAGAGCAATAAGAGTAAACCAAGAGAAAGAGCCCTAACCACAGCTGAAGAATCCTAGGTGCTTTCTGAAGACGAGGCTATATTTTGGTCACAGTCATATCTCTGTGTACCTGGCCCATGCTAATAAACCACTTAACTGTATGTACTTGGTTTTTTAATGCGTGTACTGTTGACACATTAACGATATGATCACAATTTATAATGTATTTCCTTTGGTAATAGACTGGACAAATATTAACTTTCTATATAAATAGCATTATTTTTACAGGATGCAGCTATAAGTTATTTTGATTTTCTTCATTGTTTCTTTTCTGTAATTTTCACATTGTAACACATGTTAGTTACATAATTAAAAAGCTAACAATGTGTACATATAGATCCGTGTTTTCAATACTTCAGTTTGTTTTTGACATATTGTAGTAAACTACAATAATGTGGATTTGGGGGGGTTGAGAAAAATAAAATGTTAATTCCTATAAAAATTTAAATGTTTGCAAGCGTCATCTGGAAGCAATAACAGCCACTGTTTTGGTTTCTAATGTCATGCAAGATATTAACACTCAGTCCAAATTATGAACGTGCTCATAGTCTCTAACCTGTCCATTCCACTCAAATTTATAATAACAAAAATACTTAAAAGAGACCTGGCTCCTTGAACCACAGGATATCAACAGTCACCTTAGAGAAAGAATTTTCCAGCCCAGCCCACCACTTTCTGTGTGCCTTTAGGCAGGGCACTCCTGTTTTCCTGGCTTTGACTTCATCCAGTGGATGAGAGGCTTGAACTTGGAGCTCTGCAGTAGCCACTGTGTTGGAGCTGTTTTATTCTGAGGGACCTATTCCTGAGCCAGGAGGTTTGTAAGAGGATGGGAAGGCAACCTCCTTCCTTGGATTTGCATCTGGAATGAGAAAGGTCTGCTTGCGGGGCTCCTGTCTAGGAGACTCAGGGTGCATGCAGCAGCTGCTGCTTGGGAAAGTTTGCTCTCGGGAGGGGTACGAAGAGTGAGCAGGTTGACGAGCTTGGGCTGAAGTCCCAGCAAGGACAGAATACACTGCAGGCCAGGCGACAGATTTCATTGCCAGTAGGGCCCCAAGTCAGCACTCTCTGGATCCCTTGTTTTAGCATTCCACAGAAGAGATGCGGGGGTGCAGTGGACCCCAGTAGCAGCTGGGGTGAGACTCTGCGGAAGGAGTACTGCACTCTGGGGAAGGCACCCTCTGACTCTGCCTCGCCCTGCTGCTTCCTGGCTGGAGGACCTTCCTGCGATTTCTCACACCTGCTAATGTCAGCCCAGGGCTGGAGACTGTCTGCACAGAGCTCAGGGTCTCCATCCATCAAGTGAAAGCTCGGTTTAGGTCCATTCAGAAGCTCCAAGTCTGGCCACAAACACAAGCCATGAATTCAAATATTAGCGTGCTGTCTTGTGGCTTGGTTTATACTGAATATTTGAGTAATGTCAATATTGGGTCCAAGCGATCCACCAAGGGTGCCCTGGAGTTCTCCTTCCTGTGTGAATGGGAGAGCAATTGCCCCAAGCCTCTAGACTTTATCTGCCTCCTCTCTGTTCCCTTGAAGAGCAACATAGATGTTTGATCTTGCTGTTGTAGGGCCTCTCTCCCTCATCACTTTCTTCTTCCACATGTTTCACTTATTATCTTTGTTTTCTATTGCTATATATTTATGATACATAATAAATGAATTCATTGTGGAGAATTGGTAGATGCAGGTACAGATCCAGATCACATCTTGATCCTTTTTAGTTCTGCTTCTCCTCCTGTCTCTTCTCATTCCCAATTTCCTATCCCATCTCCACAAAGTCTATGTCTCTGTTTCCTATCACCTATCTTTTATTTTGCTCTTTACATTTTTTATACTTTGGATTTCTCATATAAAAGAAACCATGAAACATGTAATCTGGTATAATTTATTTCGTTTAGGAGTATAGTCTCAAATTGCATCCATTTTCCTACAAATAGCTCAAATTTATACTTCTTCATGGCTGAGTAGTGCTCCATTAGATATATATTTTTTATTTTATTTTATTTTGGTACCGAGTATCAAACTCATGACCTCACACTTGCCATTTAGGCATTTAGGCCACTGAGCTAAACCTCCCATCCTATTTTTAAAATTTTTTTTCTGTATTTTTCTTGTCTTTTATCTCTTTACCCCTTCTTTCTGTGTGTGGATACATGGTTATGTTTGGTATGTTACAAATGAAGGCCTTAAATTTTTTTTTTCATTTTCTTTTTTGTCTTTTTTGTTTTTATCGGTACCAGGGATCGAACTCATGACTGCCTGCTTGCAAGGCAGGCACTTATGCCGCTGAGCTAAATCCCCAGCCCCCAAGGCCTTAAATTTCTTGTTGCCACTGTGCATCAGGAATAGAGGAAGTCCAGTTGCATACTGAGTAACAGGTAAATTCAGTAACCCCAGATACCGTCCCTTATTTGAAATCCCAATTTTAGTTTTCTATAGCTTCTAGTTCGATACCTAGAAGTTGACAACCACGTTAAAATTAAAAGAGTCATAGTCCATGTTTACTACATACAAAAGTGTAGCTTTAAAGTCATACTTTACTGTTCTTATATAAAGGGAAGTGTTAAACATGAATGGCCTGCTGGCACCTGTGTGGGAACTCTCCCCTGCAGCCAAGTCCAGTCCTCCACACTGTGAGGCCCACAGAGTACACACAGAGGGCTCCACCCAGGGAGGGCTGTCAGCCCAGGCGGGGAAGAAGAGCAGGCTCGTCAAGGCTGTGCGGCTTTACGAAGCATGCTGATGGCTCGCAGGTGATACATGCCTGGCAGGTCTCTTGCACACTAACAGGATCTTCATTATGGATCATTTTACAAGGGCAACTTTCAGCCTGGGAAGAATTGCATTCCAGGGGCAGAGGGCTCTTAGGGCCCTAAGCTCCCGTGTTCCTCTGCCCCTGCTCCTCCTCATGGAAAAGTCATTTTCTCCTCAAGTTAAATAGGTCACTCGTTCCTCCAGAGGTGAGACTTGTCCCTTGAAGCATAGGAAGAGAAGCAGGGCTAGCTCTGGGGCCAGGATGCTTTAGTTTTGACTCTTGGATTCTCCTGTCCTAGCAGTGAAAGCAGGGTAAAGCGCCTCGCCTCCCTGCTCCTGTCGCTTTGTCTGTAACATGGGATAATAATAATGACTCTCACTGTGAAGGATTGATGCAAGGATTAGACAGCATTTAGAATTGTGCCCCGCACAGAATAAGCATGCGACACAGCTGAACTCAGTTGTGGGAGGGTCTCGTGGGTCGTGGAAGCACAGTGTGGTGTGGAACGTGTGTTTTCACGGAGGTTCGAGGCAAGAAAGTGATTAATTCGGGTAAATCTGAGTCAGGAAAACTGATTTCAAACCTAAGCTTTATTACTTAACACTTTATATGTACTAAGTAAACTATGCCATCACTGGGCTCCAGTTTTGTCATCTGGGAAATGGACATTACAGCACTAGTTGTTTACTGGTCCTATTTGAAAGTGTACCAGTTCCATCGTATGTGGTAAATGTTTGTTGCATATTGTTTCTTTCTTATGCCTCAATAAAGGAAAAAGTGATAAAGATATCATGTTTCTGAGTTTTCTATTGCTCTGTCACTAGTGTACGTGCTGTTTTATATGCTTTTCTTTGAAAGCAGACAAGTGATCGTAAGAGGCTGAGAAAATGACATAGGGAAAAATAAAAATAAATATATTGTCATTAACATTTTGTACACAAATAGCTAATAGCAACCACTGACTTTGTGTTTTGGAAGCAGAACTCGTCTGTCCTGTAATGTTCCAAAACCTTGGTGGTATATCACTGTGGCAGTTGATTTCTCACTTCACATAATCTTATGTTAGTCATGAAATAGCCCCGAACCTTGGATTCTAGATCCTGAGACCATGACAGCTGACACATTCCTATGGTGGTTGAGTAAATCCCTGTGATGGATGGAGAAACTGAGTCTCAGGAGGGAGATGGTTTGTACAAAATTCCCCACATGGTTAGAGGGATACATATGTCGTCCAAATACTTACCTGGAGCAGCATGCAATCTCAGTGCTTTTGCGAGTCATCGTGAAATCTTGGAAAATTCTCCTGCCTTCAATGTACCAGTCTCTCCAGGAAACAAGATGGGGAGGAGGACAACCCATGATCCATGCCTTTATGTAGATACCTATAGATTCTTTAAGCCCAGGATCCGGTAAGTTCAGCTCCCCAGAGCTGGGCTCAGTCCACTTCTTGTTCATAAAAATGATCTGTGTATCTCAGAGGGAGATGCTTTGTAGAAACCTCCTTGCCCTTGATTGGCCAAATGGCTGACTTGTATGATTAGTAGTCTATTAACATGCTGAATAAGCCAGATTAAAGACTGACTCCCTCTCAGCCCCACTATTCCCATCTGTAAACCAAAAAACATGGCCCAGAATACTGTGAAGCTTCCTTTAAACTCTAACAATTCCAGAGTTCTCTCAGTTACAGTTAGAGCCACTTCCCAGGAGCAGAGACCCATAGCACCTGAGAATCACAAAGAAATTTAAAAGCTAGTAAGAGTGAATTGAAGGTAGAAAAGAAACATGGACTTCCCTTTAAGCATTGTTTGTCTGCTTTACAATCATACCTTGTAAAAATACGCGAAGATTTCTTAACCTTGAGTTAGTTTCCAGTCAGGGACTTGGAAGTCTCTCCGCTCAGGATAAACATCTTCCCGTGATGAGCAGTGACGCAAAGCCAGGGCAGGGGAATCCACGCTAAGAGCAATGGGCTTCTGGCCCTCTCTTATGTTGATTTGCCCTGGCCTGACAGACAGTACAGGAGAGGGATGAATCCTGGCTGAGGGGTTGCAGAGGCCTATTCCTGGCAGGCTGTGTAAGCTTCAGCCTTGCTTCTTCCAGCCTGAGCCTCAGTTTCCCCTTCTGTAATAGAGGAGAGAGGTTGGTCTAGGGTGCTAGGTGCCCCATATATTTCTCTGAAGATCCAACAACCCACTACTGACTCACCTTGGTTTTCCAAGTCCAGTCCCCAAAGCAAGCCTCCTTGACCAAGCTTTGTCTCACAAGCCAGAGACCTCCATTCCTCTTCCCTCCGGGGATCCAGCACAGGAATGGTGCTTGATCCATCTGCAACTATAGTCTGTCCCACTGCAGTGAGTATTTGCATTCTAATCATTTTTTAAAGCTTGCAAAAAATAAAGTCACTGGCGATCCTCGAGGGTTGCCATTAAAGATGGGTCGGTGATACGGGGTGGAGCTGGAAAGCGAGCTGGAAGGAGCAGACTTGGTTTTCTTGAACAGTCCTGCAAACCCTGGCATCCACAATGCTGGTACCCTGAGACCGCTGCGTTGACAGTTCCTTAGTGATACCGCCCCTCTCTAGCTTCGGTTTAATGTTCCCTCAAGGAATCCTTCATGTGTGGAGACGGGAACATGCTGAAATATTCAATGAGATTTCTTTTAAAAACTAAGCCTAATGAGTTCAGTCTCATGTTTGGAAGGTTTAGGAATTAATCTATGTATGAAAGAGTTAAAATTTTACCCGCTTCAGGCTGAGTGTAAGTTCTTCAGGTTCCAGAGCTTGTTCTGGAAAAGAATCCCAAAAGTTCAGATGCTTTTGCTGCAGTTTATCTGATTTATTCGAGCTGGGGAATGGGAGGTGCTGGAATCTTGGTGGAGATGACTAAGCAGGAGATGCGCTACTGCTTTGGTATCGTGGCCTTTGCTCTAAAACTGACGTGTATTTTAAGAGAAATCTGTTCCACAAGCCTGAGATGCTTTCTACTGGGTCACATGGGTGGTGGTTGGTGAGGGGTGGGTCCATATGGCCGATGGCTGGGAAGAATACAAATGCACCAAGGAGCACAAAAGATCCATCATTTCTCCCAAGCATTGCCAGAGAGCAAAGCAGAAGAAGGAAAAGATGAAGGAAACATAAGAAACAAGACAGGACACCCCCAAGTGTGTGGTCCCAAAAAGAAAGAGACTAGGGGACAGTGCAGGAGAGCCTCAATTTAGAATTAGAAAATTCGGGAATCTGAATCACTTCAGTAACCATCACCTCAGTTTCCCTACCTGTGAAATGGACACTTTGATCAGATGGAGTAAAGACTAAGTGAAACATCATGTATAGAAAGTATACTTAAAAATGTTTTAAGTAAAGATTTTGTGGTTGTTGTTGTTGTAAATCCTCATTTCTTTGTGTAGTCCTGGAAGTGATGTACCCTGTCTCCCATTCACAAACTCTAATTGTCACCGAGAGCAGCGGGGGTGCATTATCTCTGGAAAACATCATAATTTGGTTCACGTATTTTTTTTCATACTACACAGTGTGATTTCAAAATGTTGGAAAAAGCCAAAGCCAAAGTAAATGCCTTCAATCCCCCCCAACACACACACACAGGCATGTGCGTGCACATGTGTACACTCATGAACTTTTAAACCTTGGAAATCAGACAAGGGAAGAAAGCAGAATAGGGAGAAAGCACCGGCCCAGCCTTCCACGGTTCCACATTCATGTATATCGAGTTCATTTCACAAACACAAAGTGCACTGTCAGAAGTGCCTTGGGCAAAGTTTGTACTTTGCTTGAATTCTAACTTTTGTTTACCAAGGTAATAAACCGGTCCTCTGCTGCTCCAGGTGTAAAGCTATTATGAAAAGACATATTTGTATTTCACCCCACCTCAGATGCGCGGTATGTGGAACGGCCTGCACGGTGAAGCAGCTGGGATTTATTTACACAGTGAGGCACCCGGCCTGCACACAGAGGAGCGTCTCCCGCCTGGGAAGGGCTGAGCCTGGCACCATCCTGGCCATCTCTCCCTCCTCTTCCTCTTCATCCATCCACCCATCCATCAATACACTAGCATTCGCCCTCTGTTCTCTGACAGATAATCCAGGCTGCTGGGCACCCTCCAGAGGCCTTGGCAGTCCCTGTTCAGACAAGTCATGTCCCCCTTGGCTTTTTGTCCTAAGCTTTCCAAACAACCTCTTACCAACATACTTTGTACAGCAAGATTAGTGTGGCTAAAGGCGGCAGCTGCAGAAAGATTTGCTCCAATTCCGTGTCTGGAAATCTCGGAGAACTGCTCTTGCCCTCTCTTTCCCACAGGCTGGCTGCACCCTGATGGGTTATCTGAGGTCTGAGGTGAGTGGAAGGAAACTTTCACCCAAATCTCTTCACTGAGCTAAATGGCCTGGAACCCACTCTAAAATGTCTACTGAAATCTTGGCATGGGAAAGAGGAAAGAATGTATGGAAAAGGGCGGGCTGGGAGCGCCAAGGCCGTTAGGCTAGGCACGTGGGAGCGCTGCAGAGAGGGATATTGTGATGTTGTCAGCTTCAGGCAGTCTGGCAGACCACCCAGAAACAAGTGTTAAGTCGCACGGCTGCTGCCACAGCATCGCCCCAGCTGACTCGGGAGCTGCAGACAGGGGCGATCCTCGCTGTCCGGGCTGCAGTCTGGGTTCTTCCATTGATCTTCTGGGAGGTAATTCCAAGTCCTTCAGAAGTTCCAGTTCTCAAATTTCCTGAGCCCTTACTAGGTGCAGAAGTTTCAGCCCGGGGCTACCTTGTTACAGCATGCCAGAAATTAATTCCAGCCTTAAGAAAGGAAACTCTTGGGCAAGCTTCTTAACCCCTGTGAGCTCAGCTTCGTAATCTACAAAATGGGAGGCATAATAGTAATTATCTTCCAAAATTGTTACAAGGATGGATCAAGTGAAGAGTCCGTTGTAAACCCCTAAAGAGCCGCACAAACATTCTAGGTACAACAATACAAAACACTTTATTAAGAAAATTTGAGTGAATGCTTTGCTGGTCATTGTTTCCCTTGTACTGCCTAGAAACTTGGACTGATACATTCATTGAGCAGTTACTGTGATTTAGCCACTGTGGAAGTCAACGTGTGTACGAGTGTGCAGAGATTAGTATAACACTTCCCTGTCTGCAGGGTACTGCGTAGACAAGCGAGACTGGGAGAAAGACAGGGCATCACTGAACACCTCGTTACAAAGTGTTTAATAGGCATTCGACCACTGTGCATTAAGTTCCAGCTATACACAAGGTACTGCTCTTGGCATTGGGAATTAATGTCATGAATCAACATGGACCCTACTTCGTGTAGGTTTCTGGGACAATTCTCTTGCACTTAGTCATCAGAGAGTCTGGATTTTCTTTGCCTTGAGCCTCCTCTAGTCTCCAGGGCCTTGTCATTTTCTGACCGGAGAGGAGAAACTGGCAGAAGTATGTGCAGCAGCTTTTCACAGCCAGACCTGGAAGTTGCACCATGGGTTCCCACTCATGTTCCATTAGCTAGAGCTCAGTCAAACCTAACTGAAAAGAATCTGAAATGAGCTTGTTCAGTTCTCAGGAAGAAACGGATTTTTGTAAAGCTCTAGCTGATGACAATGACAAGGACAGAGCAAGCAAGACATAGCTTCCAGGAGTGCATTGTATTGGAAATTGTATTGGAAATGCTAACAAAGGTTCTACTACACAAGTAAACACATACCCGAGGTCGTTTTGGATAGGAGGATGCCAGTGCAGTAAGCGGGTGATGATGACTGTAGGTGAAGGAGTTTTACATGGAGAAAGGGGTCCTCTCACCAGTCACCAGCCAATCTGAGATCAATACGAGGAATCCTCATCACTTAAGGCAGAGTTAAGGGGAACAGGAATTCAGCAGAGGCTGCAGCAAGTGCAGCTCCCTGAGAGGGAACCCGCTTACAAAGGGCAGGGAAGCGGTGCTGTGAATGGGAGGAGGGCAAAGGAGCAGGGAGGGAAGTTATGGAGCATCTCAAAAGCTGTGGCAAGGAATTTGGATTGCAACCAATAAACGAGGCTTCAAGATTCAAGGTGATAGACAGAGAAAAGAAGGGTGTGTACCTCCATCTTCAGCCCTGTTAACTTCTCTATTGCCCTTTCCTAAGTCTGCTTGGCACTGCCCAGGGCCAGTCCCTGAAGGTCCCAGCTCCCATATCAGCTGGACAACCAGTGGGAAGGCTGGAAGGACACTGGAGGGCAGGAGGAAGACACAGCCAAGTTAAACCTCCCTTTCCCTTTCTGCGTCAACTGGCTTCTCCAGCTAGCTCTGTCCTCCCCAAGGCTTCAGCACCTGCTGACCCATCTTGCCATGGTCTAGCTTCCACCATGGGCAGCTCTGGCCTCTGCACAGCCTAGCCTAGTCACACCAAAGTAGCAATCCCAGCTCTCGCCAACGTCTGGGTTGGCTTCTCAGTCTCCTCCATTACCTGCATAGCTAATGATCTGCATTAAATCCCCTCTGCTTTTGAAGTAGCTTCAGTTTCCTTGCTTGGATCCTGATGGCTGAAACAAAGTGCAGAGCACATGTAGAAACACCCAGGGCCCGCATGTAGCAGACTCACAGTAACTGTACTGGTTTCTTACTTACATTATCATATCATTCTGGAGGTCAGAAGTCTGAAATGGGTCTCATGGGGTTAAACCCAAGAAGCTTTGGGAGAGAATCTGTTTTGTGTTTGAGAGCGGGGGACTGAATTTGGGGCCTTGTGCATGCTAGACAGGTGGTCTATCACTGAGCTACATCGCTAGCCCATTTTCTTCTCTTTTGCAGACTGTGAACGCTGTCTGTTGCCTTGGCTCATGGACCCCCTTCTCCCATCTTCAATGCCAGTGACAGCAGGTGGACTCTTAAGATGTCACTCTGCTGGTTCTCACTTTGCTTTTCCCTCTGTGTGGACTTTTGTAGTGACACTGGAGCCACACAGACGACCCACAGAGTTCCCTGTATTAAAATCAGCTGCAGAAAACTTAATGCCTCCTGCCATTTTAATTGCCCTCACTCTGTGAAATGACATGCTTGTGGGTTCTGTGGATTCACACATGGACTTCTTCGGAGAGCCATAACCCTGCCTACAGAGGAGCCCAGAATGGTGGGAAAGGGGTTACAAAGGTTTGCTAAAGGAGCCAGCGGCATGTTACCTTCCACAGGAAGACAGAAGCCAATGCTTTGTGACTGTAATGAACACAGGGTCAACAGCACTAAGGAGAATGCACTGGGGTATTTACTGTGTCTCTTAGGCTAGAGGTTCTCTCCAGAGGTGCTGGAAGCAGGGGCTCCCGTTGCAAACCCCACTCCAGCAGAGAGCATTCCTGCCTGCCACGCCTGTGATGTGATGCCAGGACCAAGCTCCTGAGCATCTTTCACTCAGGATGGCACGCAGGTTTCTTGTTTTCCTAGAGAAAGGTTCGTTTAGGAGAGTGGAGTGGGTACAGGCAAACTGTTGGCTGCGGCACGTGAGGCCCATCAGTTGCAAGGCAGGGACAACTGGAGTTGATGCAGGCAGTCTTTCCAAATGTAATCAAACGCCTCCTGTTGCCAGACGATGTGTTATTCTGTGGGGGGCTGGTGGCGGGTGTTGTGAATCGGAGATGCCTTCTGTAAGTTTATCAGATGGGTACTGAGAGGAAAGGAGAGCAGGGAGAGAGTCTCACTTCATTGACAAATAAACTTACAAACCATAGCAGTTCCTGGAAAAAAAAAAAACCTCTTAGAAATGCTTGTAGGTGACGGGATCCACCATGGGATGGGGGTGATGAAGAGTCGGGTAGTAATGTCTGTGACAACATAAACTCACAGTCAGCTCCAGTATCTCGGGCTCCAATCTTTTGCACACTCCTCTTTCTCTGGAAGGAGATAAGTTTGCAGAAGACAGAGTTTGGGTGAAGTGGAGAATGGCTTTCTCTATTTTGAGCATGAGATTATGGAAATGACTCTCTCGATGCTGCCTCATTTGAACTGGAATTCCCCCACCCAACTTCCCATGCACCCCTGGGCAGAGGAGGAAGAGGAGGAAGTCCTTACTAGGTCAGCGCTTGGGAGAAGGGAGCACTGCCTGTAGGGGCTTGGGCTGGAGTGAGAGTCCGGTGACAACCTACAGAACTGCAGGCTTTGGTCTGCTTTGGTCTCTATGCTCTGGGGCTTTCTGAACCACTGTTGGGCACTGGGAACCTGTGAGAAATCATTGGGACTGAGGTCCATCAAGGGCACGTGTGTTGGTTGGATACCTCCAACTGCTGCTAGTATGCGGGAGCATTCTTTAGAAAGAGTTGCATTATATAATGTTGCTTCTATGAGCGGCAAAGGTAACAGAATTGTATTTTTATCGGCACAGATACATTACATTTGGCATACATTTTCTTCTTGCAAGCAGTTTTTGGTTCATGAGAACCTTGAAGGTTTAGGGCTATTAACTCACTGAAAGATGTGCAGGGGTAGGCAGAGGATTCTTCTGGAAGGATTTATGCAGGACTTGGGAGAACGCTGGAGAGTAAGTGTAGGCAGCCCTGAGACTTCCTTTTATTTACCTTTCCGTACCTATTGAGGTTTGTACTTTTATACATACACTACTTATATTAAAAGTAAATACAGCAGACTCTGTAAATTCTAAATAATAATGAAAAGAAATACATTGCAATAACCACAGTGGGAAATAAGTATAATGTTCTTTTGAAATATGTGGTAAAATACTAATCATAGAATATCACCTAATCTGGTTACATGCTATAATTTTTCATCGTGACTAAAAGTAATTTTAATACACACACACACATCAGACAGAACAAGAAAACCATGGTGAAATTTAGATAATAATCAACTCCTTGTAGTAAGATTGTTCCCCTTATTAATAGCATTTGGATATTTTCTACATCATCCTCAATAAAGATTAACAATACAGAGAGCTTTTTCGGTGATTTCCCAAGTGCCCGTTTGAAACGATGAGGGGAAGACCGAGCTTCCAGTGCCGCTGCCGCATGGATCCAGAGATCAGGCTCTAGCGGATGAGGCGAGCTCCAGTCTCCTCCACTCCTAGTTTCTCTTTCAAGTTTGCCAGCGGGCAAAGCTACCTTTCTAGGTCTGCTTCGTGGATGTCTTGCGGGTCTCTCAGTCATAGTGAAACATCGTAACTACATCACCCTTCATGACGGCTGAGCTTTGGTTCAGATAACCGTGTTATCAGCATCGTTTGTGCTCTCATCCGTGACCATCACCCCAAGTGTGCATGCTGTCCTCAGTTCAGTGTCATCTGTGTTTCTTTGACTCCTCTGTGATGTGGGGGGTGGGGAGATAAATTCCAACAGTTCCCTCCCTTTCTGCTGGGGCTCAGAATGGGGTTAACCTTGTTTGGAGCCAAATGCAGCGGAGCTTTCAAATGTAACATGGCATAGACTTCCAGAGAGGAGAAACAGGAAGGAGGCTTTCCTTTCTGAGCTGTACCTGACTTCTCTTTACAAACTCTACCACGCTCTTCTGTGGGTTTTGTCTTTATATGGACCCTTTTCTTGCCTTCTGTGGACCAGCTGGGCATCATTGTGTAGTAGACACACATACCAGGGAGAAGGAAGGAAGGAAAGAAAGAAAGAAAGAAAGAAAGAAAGAAAGAAAGAAAGAAAGAAAGAAAGAAAGAAGGAAGGAAGGAAGGAAGGAAGGAAGGAAAGAAGGAAGGAAATAAGGAAGAAAAAAGGAAGATAGGAAGGAAAAAAGGAACGAAAGAAGGAAGCTACAGGGCTTACAGGAAGCTGAGATTAACTCCACTGTGGAGGCAGAATTCAAGGTGGAATTTGAACAGACTTTGAGGGATAGATGGCATTGAGTTAGCAGAAAGAGGAGGAAAGGTGACCTAACAGGACAAGTAGAGCAAAGTCATATATTTATGTGTCGTGTGGGGAATAACTTGTCTGAACGTCTGTGTCTGCAATGTGAAGGTGACCACACCACTGGCCTTAGAGGTGGCTATGAGTGTCAAGTGCTTCACTGAGTAGCACAGCTCACGTTTACATTGCACCCACTGGATGCCCAGAGCTAGCAAGCAGCAGGCCAGGGTACACGCCCAGGGCAAAGTTAGCACCATGGACCACTGTTCAGTACACCATGGAATGATGAACAGAAACAGAAGCATTTGCATGTTTGGGTTACCTGGTTCCTTTGAATCCAAACTTGCTCCATATATCTTAAAAGTTTCAGACTCAGAATTCTAGTTACATGCTTAGCTAAATCAGCTTTGAAGACAGCCACCAGCTCACTGCCCAAGTGCCTCATCTGCTTGTTAGGATGCTACTAGGTAGGCAGGGGGACTCCCAGAATTCCACAGAGTGATTCAAATGAAAACAGCCAGTGTGATCCGAACCTGAGAGAGCCACCTGCCCTCAGCCTCACTGTGACCAGTCATGAGCTGTGACCAAGCTCACGATGCCTACTGTGAAGACAGGGCAGGTCCCATCAGCAGACTCTCTTGGGTCTAAAGTCTCAGGCACTAAAACCATGAACCACTGAGCCTTCTTCCTGCTCTGGCCTTGTTTGAAATAGGTTCTCACTATGTCTTCCAGGCAGGTCTCAGGTTCACCATCTTCTGTCTCAGTCTTCCAAGTGCTGGGATTACAGGCATGTACCACTATGCTTGGCCTGTTATTACTCTCAGAAGAAACCATATCTAAGAATGAAAGTTCTTTGTGTGTGTGTGTGTGTGTGTGTGTGTGTGTGTGTGTGTGTAAGAAAAATAATCTGTAGAATGATAGCACATATTTGTCCTGTGCTTTTTATCTTGCAGTGGCTCACACACATTACTTTCCATCTCCTAACAACCTTGTGGTGATGCACATGCAAAGACAAAGGAGGACAGAAGAAAGGAAGTTCATGGAAGTGCGGAATTAGATCTTAGACTCCAAGGCTCAGAAAGGTCAAACTGGACGATAATGAAGGTCACACAGCTGAACAACAATACTGCAGACTAGGATGCTGCTTTCTGGCCTCCAGATCTCAAATTCTTCTCGTTTTCCTGCACTCCCTGAGCCACCCCATCCTTAGGCAGGGAGAGAGGAAGAATCTCTGGGCCTAGTTTCCAGGTCCTCTCATGTAACTCCAGTTACATTATTCAAAGAGTTCTATGGGAAAGGGAGCTTAACTAGGGAGCTAGGATTCTGGGCTGGATGCTGTTTTGTCCCCAGGGAAGATTTGGCAATGCCTGGAGACATATTGGAGTGTCACAACCGGGAAGAGGGAAGTAGATGTCATTGCCAACTAGGGGGTGAATGTCAGAGACACTGTGAAATGTCTTAGGATACACAGGGTGACCCCCAGAGCAAAAATGCCAACAGTACTAAGACTGAAAAGCTGTGAATTGGAAGAAAGAGGGGGAAAAAATGAAAAAAGGGGAGGGGAGAAGAGGGGAGGGGAGAAGAGGGGAGGGGAGGGGAGGGGAGGGCAGGGGAGGGGAGGGAAGGGAATAAAAGACCTTTCCATTCCCAGATTTCCATGCACACAGGAAGTTTTCCAAGACCATCTCCTTTTTAAAAACAGCTACTGGTATCCTGCAAGCACTTTTTTCCTCCTACCTTAATGAGGATCTGCCAAATATGTCAGAGCTAGAAAAGAAATTTAGGCCCAGAGAACCGAGATGACGGATTAGGCCCACCCAAGGCCACCAAGCCGCATCAGGTTAAGAAAGAACAGGGCCATTCAACTGCCCCAAGTGAAACACATTGTCTACTTCACGTGCTTATCTGCCCGCTCACCGGCTCTGCTTCAAGCCATTTTCTGACTCACTGAGTTAACAGCTGCTGAGATCTGAACGTTCTCAGCCACAGCCTTGCCTGCAGTTTATTCTAATACAGAGGGAGGAGACGGGAAGCAGAGCCACGCGCCAAGCGAAGAACCTCGCAGACTTGGCCTCAGACTGGCGCCATGGCACAGCCCAGCTGCCCAGCAGAGGCCTCTGCCCATCTTTAAGGCCAGAGGAGGTAAAACTCTCTACTGGAAATGAAACTGACATCACCAAAGCCCTTGCAGGAGGCACATTACTGAAAATAATAAAGTTTCTTGGAACTGAAAGATTTTTTTTTTTTTTTGCTCAATTTTTCATAGCTTGTTCTGTTGGTTTAGTTTTTTTTACTCAGCCAGTCGGTGAAACTGAGTTGGTCAGTGAAACTTTCTAGGGACTGCAGGTTTCACTTTCAGGGTCTAAGAGTTTTGGTTTGGGCTTTTTCAAGCCTTCATTAAAGCAATTAGAGTGTTCAGTAGTCTAGGCCAAAAGTGAGTTTCAAGTTACAGACACACACACACACACACACACACACATGCACAATGCTCAAGTGGTATTTACTAAGTAGATGAATTCCTACAAGATATTTATCCAACATGTGCTCTAAGGCCACAGGGAATAGATACAGCCCTTAGCAAGACAAAAATGCTTCCTTCCTTCAGTGACTTATAGTCTAGCTTGGGAAGTGAATCAGCAAATAGCTTCCAGCTTCTCAAAAACATCCTTCGTGCGTTGTCTGTGGAACTTAACTCAAATATTATTTTCTTATTGGAATACCCTTAATTTTTTGTATTTGTCAACTGCTTATTTAATCTTCAGGGCCAAGATCAGATGCTAACTTCTTGAAAATATCTTTTGGAAATCTCCCGGGGAAATCAGGAAATGTTCCTCAGGTTTATCTTCAACCTCTTTGCCAAAGGGCTACAAAATCATTCAGCACGTATTATGGCCCTGTGTAAGAACCTCGGGCCTTTATGCTGAGCTCTGTGCTCAGCCCTCTGTTGTTGTGTATTATATTATTCTATTTGCTCCTGATTTGCTTTGTTTTGCATTTTGAGAGAAGATCTTGCTAAGTTGGGCTCAGACCTGTGGTTCTCCTACCTCAGCCTCTCAAGAGTACTGGGATTACAAGGTGTGTGCCATCACATCCAGTCAGAAACACCAAAGTCAACTCTAAAATAAATTGTCTTACCTGTTGGTGTCATGGACAGCTCACTTTGCCTCTCTCTGAGCCAGTTCCATAGTCTATTGTGAGTATCAAGACTCTGAAAGCAGTTAACTGGCAGATGGCAATTTCTCAGTGCAGAATTAGCCCAAGTGTCAGGCACTAAGCTCTCTGCTGCAGAGGATCCAAAAATTCAAATGATATGGGCACTTATCCCCGGATCTCATCATGTAGCAAATGGAAAGTTCACAAAAACCTTTGCAAAGGAGATCATAATGCATTAGAACATTTATTATAAGACGTATTAGGGAACAGATGGAAACCAACTCTGAATGACGGATCTGATTCTCTGCAAAGTTCTTAGAAAGGATAGAATTTAATCTAGACCTTGAAAAGAGGGGAAATCATATCTAGGTGAGCTCTGTAGGCAGGGGAGTGTGTGAGGTATTCCCAGAAGAGGGACCTAATGACTCCAAGGCAGTGAATGTGAGAGAGTTGGGCGAGCCAAGCTGTCAGGTAGCTGAAGGTGAGATTTCAGATATGAAGTAAGGATGAGAGAGGAAGAGAGTGGAATTCAACATGGATTTATTAGCAGAGTTAGCTGGAAAGACAGTATCAAACTCTTAAGGGCTTTAAGTGCCCAGTGCAAAGTTCCAGATTTATTTCTGAGGGCAGTCAGGAGGTACTCAAGGTGTCCGATGTGGAAGGGTGGCTTGAATTTATCAGGTTCCTACCATCAAGTTGCTCAGCCTGGTCGAGAAGAGAAACAGGTGAAGAATAAACTATAAAAAGATATGGTGAGTAAGATGCAAGAAGTACAAAGGAAGGAAAAATCAGGGAGGAAGGTTCAGGAGAGGAGCAGGAGAAACCAGGCCTCCTGAATGTCTGTCACTGCAGCCCCACACCATGTTGTGTTCTCTCTTGTGTGCACGTTTTCCTGTGCTGTGATCTCCTCTGGGCCAAGGCTCAGCGTCTGCCATCCTGCAAATCTTCAGAAAGCATTGATTAAGTAAACTATAGGAAACTGCAGTCGTAGCGTGGATCATGGTTTTGGGAGGAATTGGGGGCTAAAGACCCCTTAGGAATTTTTTGTAGAGTTCAACATGAGAACTGGTGGGACTGGAAGAGCAGGGTGATGATCATAAAAGCATTAGGATGGACCAGAGACAGACACAGAGCCAGAGCAGACACAGGGTATGCTTGAAGGTTAGGAGGATGAAGACATGAAATTCACAGAAGCATCGAGGTTGGGTGCTTGAAAGCCTGCAACTGCTATCAACATCATCCACTCAGACTAGAAAGGCTCAAATTCCGGGGGCATGGTCCATGCTGAAATTCACTACATATTTATGGAGAGGATAGACACATGGAAAAGTCCTCATCACTAATCAGGGAATTACCGGTTCGTTTTCATTGAGGTTGAGGGGAGTTTACATATCATCAACTCTTTCATTCTTGCATGAGTGAAATGAGGTAAGACAGGGGAACTGCCTGCTTTTGATCTCACAGTTACTAGGTGATAAATTTAGGGCATGAAACTAAATCTCTGGACTCCTAGGCTAGTGTTCTTTCCAGTATGTTAAATGGTTATTTTCTTCAATTCTTAAAAAGAATTTCAGAGGAAATGGCATGCATGAATATCATGTACCACTTGTAATTTATTTTTTTTAACTAAAAGCTACATTGGGAATTTCATTTCCGTTTTGCTGATTAAAATAGGAATTCTGAAAGTCATGCATATTGATTGAGGAGTCCTCAGTTTGGGGGCCAAATTCTTACCTTCTTTAATCGGATTTCCCCAGACATTTCTCTCTGACCTATCCAGATCCCTGCTTGCAACTGAAGACAGCAGGACCTGCTCCAGGGAACTGTGTGGCACAGAAGCTAATCTGGTTCTGGTCCGAGGACAGTTCTGAGGACAGTTAATCACCTTGCAAAGGTGAAGTTGAGATTAAAATAGACATGTGATGATTTGATCAATCAGTTTCTAGGAGCCTCAAATCCAAAAGGAGTAATTTCCTTACATCACACCCAAAACCAGTTCCTCCAGCGTACTCCTACATCCTATGCACCACTCCTGCCTTGATGGAGGGAATGATTAAAACACAAAACAAAGTGTAAGGTCCAGTCCTTCCTTTAAACAGTTTCCACTCTAATCGAGGAGAGGAGACTCCCAGAAAGCAAAATCATCATGTAAGAGCAGCATCTGTCTCTTTCCTGGGTAACTTTTAGGAATTGAACAACTTTAGCTGAGGAACTTCCGATTCCTTTTGGGTACCTGAGCGTGACTAGAGCATCCTGCACAACAGCTCTCAGTGGCCAGGGTCAGACTTTCTCACTTATTGGTCCTCCAGGGACAGCACTGTGGTGAACACTGAATCAACACCATCAGGGTCAGTTTGTGAGGAGGCAAGCAGGGTGCTCAGTCAGCAAAGGGAGGTCCACACCGCCAACCTAGATATACCAATTTCCTTTCCTCCAAGTCACTTTCCACAGTGGAACGGCAGTCAGCATTCAAAGCCCATCAAGCATCTTGGTTGCGGCAGTGAGCTGTAAGAATAACAATAACAAACATTGCTGAGCACTCGCATAATATTCTGTGTGCATTACCTCATTGTAGAGTAACAGTAGTCCCAGATTCTTGTCCCTAGCACTGCCAAGATACTGTATTAGGGGATAACTAATGGACTCCTTCTTCACCATTTCCTCACCGGTTACACGTGGAGGCCTGCCCAGTGCCAGGGCCTGAGCTTGAGAGAATGAAACTCATGCAATTGAAGGTTGGAGACTAAACCAGTACGTTTTTGAAAGGAAAGATGTGATACTCAGTAAAGTTTAAAATGTGTATTTGCTTTAACAGCTTAACCTCTAGAAACTTATCCTTTAATGTCAGTAGTAAGTGTAAGTAAAGATTTACATGCAAAAAGCAAAAAATTCATGTGCAAGGATATGTGTGTCACAGCATCATATGTAAAAGCAAATCAGTCAAATGATCTTAAGTATCTTGCAACAGAAAAGCAGTTGACACCAGCAGTCTATAGTACACCAAATTGAAAATGCAGTCATTTCCATAATATATCTTTAAATAAACAATTTAATACATATGTTATAATTTACTACACACAGATATGTACAGAAGGTAACATATTCATGAACAGATTTGATTCAACTTAGGAAGTGATCTTGATTGGTAACTGCTAATGGATTGGCAGATAAAACTCACTGCTTTATCTAATTTTCAAAAAGAGCTAGATAGAGGTAAGTTTTACTTTTTAGAACTTTTTACATCTACCACGTGACTTTTAAGATAAATGCATCTGGATGAAAAGGAGGCCCTTGTTCTCTGATAATCTGTGACCATCTCTCTGAGTCTGAAGGCCAGGAGTGAGAGATTTTGCCAGGCATAAGATCCTCTAAGAAGCATGGGTGAAGACCTGAGATGAAAGGAAATCAAAGCGGGGAAATCACATTCCTATTAGAGCTCTTTTGGAGAGAAAGAATAACATGGTTAAAGTGAGCTGTTTATGTTACTGTGATAATTCTTTCCTCTCTGCCCAACCTCAGGGACTCCTCCGCCAAGTCTACTGGACACACATACATGCACACATAAATATTTTACTAGATGACAATGATGGCAAGATTACCTCAGAGTCCCCTTCTAACTAAAATCCTGGGTGTCTCAGTCTCTATTTGTGCCTGCCCTTATCTGCCCCGATTTCCATCCCACTCACACAGTCTCCCTGGCCTGCCCGATCGGCTACTGTCTACCCTCTAGGTGAGTCCCTTTATGCTCTTTCACCGCCTTCTGCTTTTCTCCGTCCCTCTCCTCACATCAGGTCTCTGCTTTCTCTGCCTGGTGGATCCTACTCAGCCTTTACTACTGTGCCCAAATGCCCCCTTCCTAGATATCTTGTTTGTCCTCAAAACAGAATTGCCACATTCCCTTCCGAGCTCCCTCAGCGCTTCTGTTAAGCTGGGTAGAGGAAGCTGTGTCGCAATTGCTGTCCCCTGAGGACACCGAGCTTGTTTACTTCTTCCTTCAGTAGCCTCAGCACAGTGCCTGGTAGATGCTCAAAGACTGTTGCAAAAATAATAAATGTATGAATTACACACCTAGCTTTCACTTAGCTTTGATTGCCAAGGCCTCCCCGGTGCGGAACCCTTTCCTCCTGGAAGGTGCACTAGAGGTCCCAGATCCATGGGAATCTTCTGCTCCAAACCACTGCTGCCCCGCCCACAGATCTGGCCCAGGGTCACCTTACCAATGTGTTGCACTGGCTGTGCTGACTTCCAGTGTCCTCGTGTAGCCTGTTCGGATTCCAAACTGTGAGATCTACCTGGTCCCAAGTCGGACCTGAAGAGAGGTAGTGGCCAGGCCAGCATGGGAGTTGTGGGCACAGGAAGAAGATTTTTCTCAAGGTAAAAGGCTGTTTCTGCCCCGCGGCTCATGGCCCTTTAACAGCTTAATGATCCTGTGAGAGTCCTTGACCTGCCTGGCCAGGTGCTGAATGTTGGCAGGAGAGCCCCACCCAGCTTAATTGATCTGTGTCTGTCCTCTATTGGGCACTGGGCAGGAGTCAGCACATTTCCCTCTGTGCACACACACTCCCTATGCCAGGCTTCCAGGGGACATTTGTCTGAGCAAAGCAGGTCAGGCATGTGTTCAGAGGTCCCACTGTGGGTGTTCACTGCCTGTCCTCCTTTCTCTCCAGACTTGCCTTTCACCCTCTTCAGCTGATTTTTGTCTCTAGTGTCCGTGTCTTTCTCTCATTTTAATTGATCTCCTTTCTCTCCTTCCCTGCTTCCCGTGTTTATTTGTTCTGGCCTTTTTCTCTCTGTCCGTCTTGTTGCCATATCCTCCCTCCACACCTTCCTCTCTTTCCTGCACACAAGGACTTTCTGTCAGTCCACAACCCTGTGCCAGCTTATCTTTCGCCAACATTGAAGAGCCCTCCCCTTTGCTTTCCTGCCTGAAATACTGGACAGACATTAATGGTTTTCTGTCTACTCCCGCTCTCTCCTCTCCTCCTCCACGTGTCTGGGCAATGAGACTCCAGGCTCCTACTCTTGTCAGAATCATTTTGGGCACCATTGCTGGGGCCTGACCCTTGCCACGTTCCCCTCCTAGTGATCAAACTGACACATGCTGATGCACAGGGAACAGGCCCAGGACCCTGGCCAAAGCCAGCAGGGGGTTGGCTTTGGGATCCCTCATGCTGAGCCTGGCAGCCCAAAGTTTATGAGCTGTCTTCTTGCCCTTTCCCCCATCTCCTGGATTTGAGTAGAGTCACTCTGTGTTCTCGCGCCACCCATGAGTGGTCATGAATTCACAGCCAAGAAGCCATAAAACAAGAGGTGGGATATGGCCAGGATGATCTGCCTTTTTTTTTTTTTTCGTCCAGTGCTAGGGTCAAACCTAGATCTCTGCGTATGCTACGCAAGCACTGTAACACTGAGCTACATCTCCAGCTACTTTCTCATTACATAAAAAAATCTTTAAGTAGGAGAAAGATAATCTTTCTTTTTTTTTTTTTTCAGTTTTGGAGTTTGAACCCCGACTCTCGTACGTGTTAAGCAAATGCACTGCTATTGACTCCTCCGACTTCCCCAGCCCACTCTTTACTCAGGCTGCTTCTTCATAGTGAAGTAGAGGCCACCACTAAGCCTAGCTCACTCTGAGCCTCACAGGCGCATAATTAGGGTGTGGATAAAGTTCTTTCTTCCAGTCGTCATCCAATAAACACACGAGCAGCACTTTTGGTCTTTGGGAACAAGCATGTAAAGATGTTCCTAGTTCTCAAAGAACTGACAGTGTCACAGAGGAGATAGACCTGTACACAGGTACACTAGAAACACTTGAGGTCATTGCTGCGGACAGAACAAAGAGTCAGTGACTATAGACTGACCGTGGCCAGTGGGAATATACCCAGACACAGAGCCATCTGGGTTGAGTCTTAAATTGTTGGGCAAACAAACAAGAACCCAATTATTTCTATGCAGACAGAGGAAATTACATTAATTATGAGGGAAAATAACAACAACAAATATCTTGGAGAAAATATAAAGAACGAGGGAGGCCCTGACAGAAACAAATGATTGGCTATTTAATGCAATCTACAAAGCTCCACTGATATTTTTATTTAAAATGGATTCATTCTAATTAATTTTCTAGCCTCAGTGTAAGGTTAGACATTCCAAAGGCAAAACAAAACCATGGTGGAAAGAAGCATTAAAATCAAGAGGTGTGAATCCTAGTTCTGCCTGGAACACGCCACTCGGAGCCAATTCCTTTCCTTTAGCGCTCAGTTACGTTCTGCGACTCCAGCAAGGTTAAGTGTATTTGTCTCTCCATCTGACTGTGATCTGGTGGGTTCTGCCATGCTCTCCCAGTGGGCCTTTTGCATCCTCCACCATAATCCTGTATTTCTCTAGTCATGGTCTTCCGGGAAAGGAAATATGGGAAGCATTTGCAATCATTTTGTAAATAAGAAATAAAAAAATGTTTTGAATCCTACAGCCTCTTCTTTTCTCCCTTCCCCAGCACTTTTCCAAGCCAGTGGATGGAAAGAGACAAACACAAGACTTGAGTTATTATACCTTTAACATGGGGGAAACAAAACAAAAGAAAACAAAACACAACTCTCTACAAGACCCTAGGGCAGTAGGATGACCTAATGGAATCTTTAAGTTCAAGGATAAGAAAAGCAAGACTCAGGAAGAGTAAGTGACTGGGTCATGTTTACAAAGCAGGTCAGGGACACAACGGGCATGCAGAATCCAACTGAACCATCGATCAGCAGGGCCTTTATGACAGCATACATCCCATGCCTACATCTTAACTTCAAGTCCAGTCTGCCTCAGTGCCATGAGTGAGTTTCAATCCTTGATCATGACACAGCATGCTTTAGAGAGGGCATCAAGAGCCCCTTCCAAATGTGTACCACTGAGTTCCTGAGAACTGCTATCATAGTTTGTTTTCTGTACACATTAAAGTACCTGAGGCAAAGCAACTTTATGAAGAAAGAGGTCTATTTATCTCACAGTTCTGAAGACTCAGAGGCATTGCTATTCCAGGCTCAGCTCAGCTCCTGTGAAGGGTTCACAGCGCAGTGTATTAATGAGAAAGATATTCCATGGCCAGACAGGAAGCCAGAGAGAGATGTGGGGCTCAGGTTTAGGCTTTGATACTAACTTGCTCTTGTGAGAATAATTCAGGATCCTGTGAGCACTACCTTGGTGCCCTCCCAGGGCAGCATCTCCAGGGTCCTAAGGACCTTTCGCCTCTTTAAAGTCCCACTACCTCAGCATTGCCACACTGAGGACAGACCTCCAGTTCATGAACCCTTAGGGGGCAACCGCGTCTGAACTATAGCAACCACTATCTTTTCCAGTGCAGCTCCTGAGACTTTCTCCAACAGGCAGATAGATGTCTCACTGGCCAAGGTTAATAGTACTGCATACAACAGAGCTCCTGGGGAAGAACCTACAGATGACCATGAGACATAGCAAGCACTGTTCTGCACCATGACAAGGATGGGATGAGACGTGATGAAGAGAGAAGGAGGAAGAGATGGAGCAAAGATCCTTGTTTGTTTTCAAAGGACATACATCTTTCAGTTTCAACCAGGACACTCAGCAGGCACAGAATCACAATCCTCCCTCCCAGCCCTCAGGAAAGAAAGCTGATCCTTTAGCCATTTAAATAACATGACTAAGACAAGGAAGGGCAAGTGGACAGTCATTGTGACCCTTTATGTAAATAATAATTTTCTAGTGGGAACTGTGATCTCTCCTTGGCCCTTCTATTTTTAAAAGCTAATTATATCTGATTTTGTTTACATAGGTGGGGCTAATAAAAAATTTGCTCTGTAATCATTGAACTTAATGTATCTGGTTTTGGACACTGGTGATTTATTTTTGCACACATGCTCCAAATTGGTGCTAATTACTATAAAGGATCAGCGTTTCTATTCCAAGGGGGATGACAACAGAATGTCAGTTTGCAGCCTCTGAGCGTAATGTCCCAATTATCAATGCATTCCAGATTAGAATGGACTTGGCATCTTCTTGAAAGGATTTGGCTTCAGTTTTATCAGACAGTCCCTGGATGTAACTTCATTAAGACTTGCTTTCTAGTAACTTGTTGGTGTACCTGTACATTTCCCTCCCCTTTTACTATTGTATCAGCATTCCAAATACCTACCTTTCCATTTCCAGTCAAATTCTTCTATCCAAAGCCTTCTTTAATCTGTGGCCCAAGATTAATATTTACTTCCTGTGCAAGACACAGAGTACTTCGCTGATCCCTTCCTTAAAGGACTCACAACTTTCTACACATTATAATCACTTACATTCTTCTTTCTACAATATAAGCCCCTTGGTGACAATACTTTATCTGAGTTACCTTTGTGCCTGCTACCCTGAAACTTCTGCTAGTTCTCTGTGCCACAAGGGCTTTATACACTGATTTAATTGAGGTTTTTCCCTAATATCCTACCTGCTTCAGAAAAAAAAATTAAGGTAAGCTTGAATAAATATTTATGCAACAAATAACATACATAACAAATATAACATATCTTCTTTTATCACACTTTGCTTTGCTGTGCTTCACAGGTACTGTGTTTGTTAGAAATTGTTTGTGCGACCCTGCAATAAACAGGTCTGTCGATGCAATTTGTCCAGCTGTGTGTGCTCACTTTGTGTCTCGGTGTCACATGCAGGCCACCTCTCAGTATTTCAAAGTTTCTTCTTATTATTATAAATATTGGGGTGATTTGGGATCAAGTGATCTTTGATATTAACTCTCTTAAATGTCTGGAGTTCCATGAATAGCACCTATAAAAAGACAGTTCCCCAAAAAACAAAATTGATAGATGTTGTATATCTCTAAAAAACTGCTCCCCTAGCTGGCTGCTCCCCATCTCTCCCCCTCTTGTGGCCTCTTTGTTCCCCAAAACACCACAGCATCGACATTAAGCCAATTAATAACATTTTAGTGGTTCCTTTCAAGTGAAAGGGGAAATTTGCATATCTGGTTTGCATAGTAAGTCATGCCAAAAGGCAGGACAGACAAAAAGCTAGGTTTCTTATGCCTAATAGTTTATCAAGTTGTGAATGCAAAGAAAAAAAAGTTTTTTGGTTTTGTTTGTTTGTTTGTTTGTTTTTGGTGTGTATGGTTGTGCTAAGGAGTGAATTCAGGGTTTCACACCTGCTAGGCAAATGTTCTACCACTAATCTACATCCCCAGCCCACAAAGGAAAAATTTTTGCAGGAAATTAAAAGTGCTACTCCAGTGAATTCATGAATGAAAATAAAATGGAATTGCCTTATTGCCAATATGCAAAATGTTTTAGTGGTTTGGACAGGCTATCAAACCAGTTACAAGAGTCCCTTAAAGCATAGTTTTATTAAGAGACAGAGAGGCCATAACTCTTCAGTTCTATAATGGCTAGATAGGTAAGGAAACTGCAGAAGAAAGCTCTGAAACTAACAGAAGTTGGTTCATGAGATTTATGGAAAGAGGACATTTCTATAAAATAGAAGTGCAAGGTAGGCCAGGACATACTGATAGACAACGCTGCAACAAGTTAGCCAGAAGTTCTAGCTTAGAAACTAATGAAGGTGGCCACCTGTTCTAATTACTTTTCTAGTGGCTGAGACAAAATATCCAACACCCACAAATTAAAGGAGGAGTGGTTTATTTTGTCTCACAGTTTGTAGAAGTTTCAGTCCATAGTCTACTGGCTCCAAGACAGGGCAGCATGGCAGAACAGCCTGGCAGAGGAGAAAGAGCTGGCACGGCAGCAGGAAGCAGAGAAAGATCAAAGCACAAGGATGAAAATGGACCCTTCCAGGGCATGGCCCTAGTGACTCACCTCCTCTGA